ATTGGACGGTCAAGATTAACCCACAATCTCAGCCACTTAAACTACAGTCCTTGATTAGATTTCTGACACGTCTCACTGAGACTGAGACCACCACCATCCTTTAATAAATAAAACAAAAACATTAAAAACATTGAAAAAGAAAGATCCAGTGCTGTCGAGGCCCCGCCAGTCTTTTGCCTTCCTCCTCCGAGTCCTCTCACAAGCCTCAACCCAATATTATCATTCCATAAATACCCCTACCGCGCTCTGAATTTATTTACTCAGTGTTACTTTCTCCTTTACTTTTCTTTTTGCCCTTTTGATGATGAGCTGAGGGCTGCAGAAAGAGCGCAAGAATACACTCAACACTCAAAAAAGCTTCTTCAGATTCCCATTCTCGGTGTCTTCCATTATCTCTTCTGGGTCCTTCTCTTCTTCCTCTTTTAAAGGGAGAGAAAAGAAGAGAGGCCTAAAGATGAGATTTTGTTCCATGGGTATCCTTCCTTTTTCTAATTATTTCATCTGGGTTTTTTGGGTTTTAGCTGTTTGAGGCAAAAAAAAAAGAAGGAAAAAAAAGGAGAGTTCTTGGTTGGAATTCTTTGTTGGAGTTCATTAACGGAGGACTGAAGAAAGAGTGGGGTTGTTTGAGTTTGCAGTTAATAAATGGAGGGCATAAATGTGTTGCCTTTATTTGTGTTTTCATTGTTTGTTAGTCTTTGGATGAGGGGCCATTGTCAGAATGATACAGCCATTTATATTGTCACATTGAAGCAAGCTCCTGCTGTGCATCAAACTGGTTTTGTTAAAGGATTTGCAAGCAGTGAGATCAACAACGGGGCCTCTGGAGCAACGAATACCCTTAATAAGCCAAATAGGTACTTAATTTATTTCCTCATTAAGTAAGTAGCATTTATGTCATATTGCCTGTTTTTTGTTATTAACGCAATTAAGCTAATTAGGGCTGGATTCGACATAATGACGGTCTTATGTCATTGTTAAGTTACTTTGTTTCTGGTTCTGTTTTGACTGAAAATTTTGTTCGTTGTATGCAACGTTTGATTTGTCAAAATCAATCGCATGCACCTGTCTTTATCATTGGTTCTTCTTTTTAAAAAAAAGATATGTACTGCTGTGAAAGGGGGGGGTTTACTTCTGTGGTTTTATTATTGAGAAGTGTGGATTATCTGTTTAATTAGAATTAACAAATTGATAAAATGCCGAATTTTTTATTTCCCCCCATAATTGTTTGATGTTATTTTGATCTGTGAGGTGGGCTCTTCAATTATTGGGATTGGTTGGTCTCACTTGCTGATGGCTTTGCACTCTAATTTTTTAAATCTGTTTTGATTATTTAGAAATATTATCTTGCTTATCGATTATTATTTAGAAATATTTCATCGTCTCTTTGGATTAAGGTAGTTAATGGTAGAATATTGAATTCTGGTTTTTTGTTTTGTTATTGATGTTATTTTTATCCGTGGGCTGGGTTCTTTCACTATAGGGGATGTATAGGTCTCACGGTTTAATCAATTAGAACTCTAATATTTTATCTTGTGAGGTTAACTTCCACCTTTTTCTGTTTCAAATTTTCTAGATTTGACCAAGAAATTTACTCAATTAAATCATAAAGTATTTTTATTTTTGCATTTTACATCATTGCCAGCCTAAATCATGCAAATATGCAAAGGATGTGGACTCCATGAAACATGTGGCATGTTCAATTGCTCCCTCCTTTCATAGTTTAATCTACTAACACTATGTAGTTTATGAACTATATAAAAAATCAGTGCCCTACCTATATTATTTTATGTTGTTTTTCAATCTAATTATGCGGATATCTGATATTTGGGTAAGATGGAAAAGGCCATTTTTAATATCTTTCTAGTACCAACAGATTAGTAGAGATCCCAATTAATACTTGGTGGACAGGTGTTAATGGCAGTCTGTCATGAATTCATTCAAACAATGGGTTAATAATGAATTTAAAATTTTTAGTTTATCATCTCGTGGTATGAAATGCCATAATTAGATGTTTTACTTGGGCTTTCTTTATCTTTGCGTTCTCTGGTATAGATACCTAGAAAATATGATTTCAGAAACATTTACTTTTGGCCTGTCTTCTGAATATAGGAATGCTTCAAGAACAAATACAAGTTATGGTTCACGCCTTGTTCATCTTCAAAATTCTCTATTAAGGAAAGTGCTAAAGGGGGAAAATTATTTGAAGCTCTACAGCTACCAATACTTGATCAATGGCTTTGCGGTTCTGATTACTCAGCAACAGGTACTTGGTTAAATGGTGGGCAATTTCCCATTTATTCTTTTAGAACTTCTTTTAATTTGTAATCACTAATCTGTATTAATGGTCCTCGTGGCTTGTGAGTGATGAATATACTGTTTACATATGGATACTACATTTTAGCATGTGTAGCTATTCACATGATTAGAGGAGATGTTGTTCGTGACTATATATGTATATACATGTTCAAAATTATTGTCTTGCATCTACTTGTAATCCATTTAACATAATATTCTTTAACAGTACTCACACTTCAGTTGGATGCTTCACTGGATGCCATAGACAAAAACTGCATTCATTATCCACAAAAAAAATTCAACTGTTAGTTCTTTCTATTGCAGTGGACCTTTCAGCCGTATGATACATATATACGCGATGGTCATACTCAAACTTGAAGTCTAATAGGCTAGAGTTTTTCTTGAGTTCCATGGCTTGAGTTTCTTCTCAGGTGTTGATATTGTGTAATTTGATGATATTGCATCTTCTCTCTATTTTATTTTCTCTTGCTTTTCCTCCAAATTTTATTTATATTATTATTGCTCCAAAGGCAGACAAGCTAGCTAGGAGGAGAGAAGTTGCAAATGTGGTATTGGATTTCTCTGTAAGGACGGCTACTACGTATACTCCTGAATTCTTGGGACTGCCACAAGGAGCTTGGGTTCAAGAAGGAGGACCTGATGTCGCTGGAGAAGGAATTGTTATTGGATTAATCGACACAGGAATTGATCCAGCACATCCTAGCTTTTCTGACGATTTTTGTCAAAGCAATTACCCAGTTCCCAGCCATTTTTCTGGTGTTTGTGAAGTGACAAAGGATTTCCCTTCCGGGTCTTGTAACAGAAAGCTTATTGGAGCTCGTCATTTTGCAGCTTCTGCTATAACAAGAGGGATTTTTAATTCTTCTCAGGACTATCCTTCACCAATTGATGGTGATGGGCATGGGACGTGAGTTCAATTCCTTACATTTTTTTATATAAGTCTCTTTGAATATTCTTTTGTTTGGTAATTTCAACGCCTTATAAAAATTTTATATACAAACAAGCAGTACATGTAATCTTTTAAATTTTAAGCTAATTGCAAATAGACTGCCTGCAGTATTATTGTATTGAACTTGCTACCATTGTAGTTTCATTATGGCAAATAGACCCCTTGGGTTAATTTTTTTGACTCTTCTACCCTGGGTGAATTTTGGTTAATCTATTGGTAAAAAAGTCAAAAAAAAAAAAAAACAAACAAAATTCACACATGGGTTAATCTGCCAAAATAAAATTAGGGGTAGTAAGTTCAATACTACAAAAATTCTATGTGCAAATTACCCTTAAGTTTATTGTGCATCTCTTGAATAGTTTCTTGTTTATGCACCCCTCTGCAAACTTTTTCCCAGCTGGAAGAATGTTATCAAACAATGTTGACAATTTACTATAATACCACACTTGGAAAATTATTTGCAAAAGGTCGAATGGATTCTAGCCCTCTAGAGATTTGAAACTTTCTTTAAAAATTGGAAGTTTTTATGATCTTTATCTTTTGGGTTTTTTTAAAAAACGTTTCTATTATATATCTATTTTTCAATTGCAGACATACAGCATCGATTGCCGCTGGTAATCATGGAATTCCTGTCATTGTGTCTGGGCATCATTTTGGGAATGCAAGTGGCATGGCTCCTCATGCACAGTAAGTTATTAAATTCCGTCAACAAATATATTAATGCAAGTATCTGTGGTCTTCAAATATTGATAGCAAATTGTCTGTCACTTTGTTGCAGTATCGCTGTTTATAAGGCTCTGTATAAAAGCTTTGGAGGCTTTGCTGCAGATGTTGTTGCTGCCATAGACCAGGTAAACAAACACCTTTTTATTTGCTTCTGTACACTAAAAGTTTAGTAGCCCTAATTTTTTTACCATCCTGCCTGATTCAATTGGATAACATCCTCCTTAGGTTGTATTAGGTTCCTATATCTTTTATTCTACTTCATATTTCATTAGGAAAACAAGTTTAGGGCTGTTTTTAGGCATGTAACCAGTTCATGGTGTTATCGGTGCTTGGTACATGGAGACCAGGAGATACATCGATACTTCCCAGTTCAAAGTCCTTGTGGACATAGATAAGCACACAGTAATGGATATTTTAATTTTCTGGAAGCATCTCATATGCTTATAGAAGTGACCCTTGTACTTCTGCATGCCTATTTCACTTGTTACAAGCTATTCTTGCCATATTCTTCATAGTTCATAGACCATTAAAGGACAAATTGAGATAGATGCATATCTCAGCAATCATATGCTTCTTTCTGATGGTAAATATGTGGAGACCATACAATTGATATACAGGACTGTAGCTGTGTGTCTTACCTGCAACTTCAAGCTTCACTCAACTGTTTGTTTATTGACAATATATTCAATCACAGGCAGCTCAAGATGGTGTTGATATCATAAGCTTGTCAATCACTCCTAACAGGCGTCCACCTGGGCTCGCAACTTTCTTCAATCCTATAGATATGTCGCTGCTTTCGGCTGTAAAATCTGGAATATTTATTGTCCAAGCAGCCGGCAATACTGGACCTTCGCCAAAGAGCATGTCTTCATTCAGTCCGTGGATATTTACTGTAGGTGCTTCTGCTCATGATAGGATCTACAACAACTACATTGTTCTTGGCAACAATCAAACTATTCAAGGAGTTGGACTTGCGCGTAAGTTCTGTTTCATGGTCTAACACATTTGTCCTCAAATATGGGTTGGATATAGATTTCGTGTCTTCGCACTTCATTTTAGGGGTTTTTATATACACTCTTTAAGTCGTCCATATTTACACAAGATACCCCCCCTCCCCCCAAGAACCCAAAGCAGTATTTGCAAAACTACCCTCTAATTCATCAATTTAGAAAAATGCCTCTCATATCTAATGTTGTTACATTGTTACGTATACGATTTAAGGATATTTTTTTAAATTGTTTTGCCCTTTGTCAAAATCGGCCAGGTGTTAAGAATCAAAGCTTTGAACAGAGAGAAACTCAACAAATGTGGGAATGAATCTCATTATCTTATTGGTGTTAAGAATCAAAGCTTTGAACAGAGAGAAACTCAACAAATGTGGGAATGAATCTCATTATCTTATTGAACAACTCAGGCTTCTTAAATAGCCTTCAGAAACTCAACAAATGTGGGAATGAATCTCATTATCTTATTGAACAACTCAGGCTTCTTAAATAGCCTTCATCATAACAGAAAATAAAATGAACTAATTGCTTCGTGATTTCAGCAACTGAATACAACAACTGAATAACAAACTAAATAGACTTATTTCAACAGAACTTAAACTGAAAGCTAAATAACTGGTTCTTCTCTTCATTCCCTCCCTAAAACTAGTTCTCAACTAGTTTAGCTCAGGAACTCGATGAACACCAAGTTGAGCTCTAAATTTCTGGAAAGCTTCCAAGGTAAGAGGCTTTGTCATCACATCTGCTAATTGGTTTTGAGTCCCACAGTATACCATCTCAATAACACCATCTCGAGTTAAATCACGAAGGAAATGGAGTTGCACATCAATGTGCTTACTTCTACCATGGAATACTGGATTCTTTGACAATTGAATAGTAGAACTATTATCACAAAAAATCTTCGTACACTTACTCTCCTTCAAGCTTAGCTTCTCAAAAATTCTCTTCATCCATATGGCCTGACTTGCACATCCAGCTGCAGCCACGAATTCAGCCTCTGTAGTAGATAATGTGACAATTGGCTGTTTCTTCGAAGACCAAGCAACAGCTCCTGAGCCAAGCATAAACACATATCCTGACGTGCTCTTGCGATCATTCAAGTCTCCTGCATAATTACTATCTGTATATCCAACAAGTTCTTCATCTCCTTTCTCGTTAAAGACACCAAGCTCCACCTCTCAAAATACCTCATAATTCTTTTGACCGCCATCATGTGTAATTCTGTTGGTCTCGACATGTATCTGCTCACCAAACTCACAACATGCATCAAATCCGGCCTCGTAGCTGTGAGATACATAAGGCACCCCACCATTTGCTTGTACAGAGTCTCATCAACCTCAACTCCATTTTCATCTTTGAATAACTTGCAACCTGGAATAATCGGATTGTGGACTGAATTGCAATGTTCCATTCTGAACTTCCTTAAAACTTCCAAAGCGTACTTCCTTTGGCACAAATAGACTTTATTTGACGTTTGCAAAACTTCAATGCCAAGAAAGAATCTCATTCTTCCCAAACCAGTCATATCAAATTCTTTAACCATAGAACTCTAAAATTCATCAAACATAAATTCATCATTGCCAGTAAATATTAAATCATCAACATATAAACTGACAATGAAAATTTTACCTTTAACCTTTGTCTTGATGAACAGAGTTTGTTCGCTGTAGCATTTTTCAAATCTCTGACTCACAAAATGTGCCTCAATACGACTGAACCAAGCTCGTGGAGCTTGTTTAAATCCATATAAGGCCTTTTTTAACTTGTACACCTTCTGAGGACACTTCTTCAATTCATAGCCTCTTGGTTGCTCTACGAACACGTCTTCCTTCAGCTCTCCATGCAAAAATGCTGATTTAACATCAAGTTGAAAGAGACTCCATCCTCTTTGAGCTGCCAATGCCACAATCATCCTTACAGTATCCATCCTCGCAACTGGTGCAAAAACTTCCGTATAATCGATCCCTTGTTGTTACACGTAACCTTTAGCGACCAATCTAGCTTTGAACTTGTCTAGCTTTCCATTCTCCTTAACCTTAGTCTTATACACCCATATCAGCCCTATCTTCTACGCACTAGTAGGCAAAATGGTGAGCTCCCAAGTATCATTTCTCTCTATTGCATTGATTTCAGAGTCCATTGCTAACCTTCAGTTCTCATATTTTACTGCTTCTTCAAAATGAGTTGGGTCAGAATCTGAAAAGAAAGTTGAAAGTAAATTCATACTTACATCTTCCTCTTCTGAAAGTCCCTCTCCACTATCATAATCTTGCATTCAAACTGGAGGTCTTCTAATTCTTCTATTTCTCTCTTCTTCTGGACTTGTTGGCTCTCTTTGATCTTCTGTTTCTGATTCCTCCCTCACTTCACCCGTAGCCTCTTCATTTTCTTCACTGGCTGTACCATCATAGCCTTCGTTCACTGCTTCATCTTTTTCTTTATCATTCCGTTCCAAATCAGCCAACACAAACTCTTCATAGCTCTTGTCCCAATCCCAAGACTTGTCCTCCTCGAACACAACATCCCTGCTCACTATTACCTTCTTTGTGATGGGGTTATAAAGACGATATGCCTTGGATTCTTCACTAATGCCCTTTCCCTCCAACTTTGTTCTTTTTGCATCCGGAACATGTACATGAGCCACACACCCAAACACTCTAAAGTGGTCCACTGATGGCTTTCTTCTGCTCCAAGCTTCCTCAGGAGTCTGATCCTTCATAGCAAAAGTTGGACATCGATTAAGAACATAGAATGTCCAATTTACTGCTTCTGGCCAAAAGGTCTTGGGAAGCTTCTTTTCAGATAAAATGCATCGAATCATGTTCATCACTGTTCGATTTTTCCGCTCAGCCACTCCGTTCTGTTGAGGAGTATAGGTTGCAGTCAGTTGTCTTTTGATGCCGTGCTCCATGCAAAACTCATTGAACTCAAAGGATGTGAATTCTCCCCCTCGATCTGTTCTCAAGCATTTAATATACTCTCTTGTTTCTTTTTCAACATAATTTTGAAAGCGCTTAAACATGCTCAATGCTTCTGACTTTTCTACTAAAAAAACAAGTCCATGCTTTTCTAGTAAAATCGTCAATGAAACAAATGACATACCTCTTTTTGCTATTAGAAATAGGAGATATTGAACCACATATATCAGCATGGATAAGTTGAAGCCTTTTTGTAGCCCTCCAATTACTCTTCCTTGGAACTGGATCTCTGTGTTGCTTCCCAATTAGACAACTTTGACACACTCTTGATGGAGACTTGAACTGAGGCATACCTTCTACCATATTCCTGTACTGCAACATCCTTAGACCTTTGTAACTCAAGTGTCTGTAGCAACAATGCCACAAATGTGCTTCATCATGTGAAGAGGTGTAGAGACAAGATGGTTTTGAATCAATGATCTTTTGAGGCAAAGAGCTTGCAACCATCACAAACATTCGGTTTGTTGTCATGTCAGATGTTACTATCAGTCCTCTCTCTGGATGATATATCTTGAGCCTTCCATTTTGAATGAGAATAGTCAGTTCCCTTTCTTGTAATTGTCCGATACTCAGCAGATTATTTCTCAATTCAGGCACATAATAAACTTCACTGATAACATGTGTAAAGCTTCCTACTTTCAATCTCACATTACCTCTGGCTGTCACTTCCATTCTTGAGTTATTGCCTAGCTTCACTCTGTGTTTGAAACTTTCATCGAGATCATAGAACATACTCTTGTCACCGCTCATATGATTGCTGCATCTCGAGTCTAAGAACCAAATATCTTCTCTTCGAGCTCCGTTGTCTTCTTCATAAGCCATGAGCAACATCTCTTCTTCTTCTTCTTCCATCTCGGCATAATTGGCTTCTTTATCCCAGCTTGGACACTCAAATTGAAAGTGTCCAAGTTTGTGACACTTATAACACTCTAAGTAGCCTTATTGTACATCTGCCTACCTCTTCCTCTCCTCTTCCTCTGCCCCTATAAGCACTGCCCCTATAAGCACCTCGACCTCGTCCTCTTTCACATCTGTCTCTTCTTTCTTCAGTTACAACTTTCAATACGTGATCTTCACTGTTGGTTCTTCTAAACTTTTATCATTTGATTCGAAGGAGCTTCGAAGTTCATCCACAGAAAGACAATCGATGTCATTTGATTCTTCGATGGAGCATACAATGTAGTTGAACTTCTCGGTGAGAGTTCGCAGAATCTTCTCCATAATCTTGACATCTTGCATGTCTTCTCCATAATTGCGCATATCATTTGCCACTACCATGACTCTGGAAAAATAGTCCGTTACAGATTCTCCATTCTTCATCTCTAGAATCTCAAACTCTCTACGAAGAGCCTGAAGCTGAGCCTTCTTAACCCTGGTATTCCCTTGATACTTTGTCTTCATGGAGTCCCATAATTGCTTGGATGTGCTCTTGTGGCTGATTGTCTTCAAGATTGACTTGTCTATTGACTGGAAAAAACCATAATTGCTTGGATGTGCTCTTGTGGCTGATTGTCTTCAAGATTGACTTGTCTATTGACTGGAAAAAAATAATTTTTGGCCTTCAAGTCTTTCAGCTTGAGTTCCTCCAAGGATTTGCTCTGTGCATTAGTCAGCACGATTCCAGCAGCCGGCTCGGTGTAACCAGGATCGATTACGCTCCAGCATTCTTTTGATCTCAGCAGATTCTCCATCAGCATGCTCCAGTGATCATAATCCCCATCAAATCTGGGAATGCTCAGCAAGTTATGTCCTTCAGTCGCCATCGTGATCTCACTCTCGCTCAGAGCATTTCTCTCAACCACTCTTTTCTCTTGAAGTGTTTCACTCACTCTCTCTTTCTCACAATCACTCTATTTCTCACAATCAGGCCCGTATGCAGGCTCTGATACCACAATGTTAAGAATCAAAGCTTTGAACAGAGAGAAACTCAACAAATGTGGGAATGAATCTCATTATCTTATTGAACAACTCAGGCTTCTTAAATAGCCTTCACATCATAACAGAAAATAAAATGAACTAATTGCTACGTGATTTCAGCAACTGAATACAGTAACTGAATAACAAACTAAACAGACTTATTTCAACAGAACTTAAACTGAAAGCTAAATAACTGGTTCTTCTCTTCACCAGGATCCAATCCCAAAACCATTTGTTATTTTACCCTTTGTCAAATCGGCCAAGATTGAACCCCAAAACTGTTTGTTAAGTAGCAACGTCAAATTGGGGGCTATTTTTTTCCTCCAATGCTGATGAATTAAGGGGTAATTTTGCACATACAGATATTTGTGGGGCAATTTTGCAAATATGGATGATTTAAGGGGTATATATACCAAAAAAACCTATCATTTTATTACAAATGGATTGATATAAATTGGTAGGCTTCTATCATTGAACATATTTCATAGGTTTTCTTCTAGCATTAAACATATTTATACTGCGTATCAAGTTCTACCTTCAGCTGCCACAGATGGGGATTCAATGTATACTCTGATTTCTGCTACTCATGCCCTGAAAAATGAAACAGAAGAGGTAAATAATCTGGGAGAGTGCCAAGACTCAAGCTATCTGGATCAAGATCTGGTTAAAGGAAACCTCTTGATATGTAGCTATTCTATTCGCTTTGTTCTTGGTATGTCATCAGTCAAGCAAGCTTTACAGACAGCACAAAATGTTAGTGCAGCTGGCATTATTTTCTATATGGATCCTTTTGTTCTTGGGTTTCAGCTCAACCCGACCCCGATGGCGATACCAGGACTTATACTACCTTCTGCAGATGACTCCAAGGTTTGCCCATTAACATGCTATCCTATACTTATTTTTCAAAATTTTCCGCAATAGTGAAGTTCAACAACTGCTCCTTGAATTTCTCATTTTCTGTTCTCAAGAGCAAAATGGACTTTCTGCTTATTTCATGTGAATCATGTCAATTAAGAAATTCTCCTTGGTTACCATCATAGTCATTTGGGAGTGTAGGATTGTGCTGTTGGGGGAAAAATGTTTATCCATGTTTCCTGAGAAATTTCCAAGTAAGAAAACACAATAATTTTTTTAGGAAAAATCAAAACATTTGTAGTTCGTTAATATTGGGGGAAAAGTGAATAATGATTTAATATTGTGTATTATTTGATACGGTTCATTTCTGCTATGTTGCTCATCGTAGTTTCCTGCATCCCCTGCAAGAAAACTGGGATGTTGTGTTGAATTCTGAAAAATATTTTTATAGCCTTAGATTGTGGTGAGGGCTGATAAATGGTCTTACACTCTTATCACCCTTCTGTATTGTCCAAGGTAATTTCCTATTCTTCATCTATACTGGCCTATCCAACATTTTAGACATGCTCCAATGTTTGTATCTTCATTGGTCAAGAGCTCTATAGTTAACTTTGGTAAATCTAGATGAAAAAAGGGTCCTCTTGTTTTAATAACATTATTCCGATCTTTAAGCGTATATATGTTTTGAAATGCGTCAGGGATTGAAACCTGAACCTGAATGTTACTAATTAATGCTTTGGTGATCTCATGGCAGATTTTCTTGAAATACTACAATGATTCCCTAGTGAGGAATGTAACTTCCAACTCGATAGTCAAGTTTACTGGTGTTGCGAAAATTTTAGGAGGTATCAAAGCTAATTACAGCAGTTCTGCGCCAAAAGTAATGTATTATTCTGCCAGAGGACCTGATCCAGAGGATAACTTGATTGCTAATGCTGATATATTGAAACCCAATTTGATTGCTCCTGGCAACTCAATATGGGGTGCTTGGAGTTCTCTAGGTGCGGATTCTGCTGAATTTCAAGGTAACAATAAAAGTTATCATCTATGTCCTCTATACTTTCTTGGAGCTGAAAACAGTTCTCTCTATCTTACAAGTCTTCTCTCGTTCATAGTACTGCTTTATATCCAATAGACTCATCAATTGCAGAGTAAATGATGGCTGATGTTTTTGGGATCTCTTCTAGGTGAGAGTTTTGCGATGATTTCTGGTACAAGCATGGCAGCTCCCCATATTGCTGGTCTTGCTGCTCTAATCAAGCAAAAATTTCCTAATTTTAGTCCTTCAGCTATTGCGTCTGCTCTCTCCACAACTGCCACAGTCAATGACAAGCAAGGTGGCCCAATTATGGCCCAACGGGCTTACAGCAACCCGGACTTGAGTCAATCACCAGCGACACCATTTGATATGGGCAGCGGTTTTGTTAATGCCACAGCTGCATTAGATCCGGGTTTAATTTTTGATTTAAGTGAGTTATATTTTCTTTTAGCAATGAGCTATAGTTTTTACCATGGTGTTACAAGCATGATGATGTTAATTGGTCTAAGAAGATGAATATACAATTTTAGAGATGCATGGAGAATTAAACCACAATTTTATTGAAGTGCAACGATTTATGAACGTAATACCTTGTAGTTTCACTGTTGCAGAGAGAGTCCATAGGTTAAATACTTTTACTCTTTTACCCTCAGAGGAATTTTGGGAGATATTGTCTCTGGGTGAAATCAGGAGTCTATCAGAGGATAAAAGAGTAAAACATAATAATAACCCATGTGGTCTATCAGCAACAATGAAACTATAGGGGTAGTATGTTCAAAACAATTATACTGCAGAGTTGCGCACAATAACCCTTAAATAATTCCAAATGTGCCATATTTTTATTGAAGCGCAGGAAAGAACAGTGATAGAACGGAAATAATACAGCACATAGTCTATGTTACTATTGGTGATTTGTGTAAAGTTGAGTTAGCGGCATTTTCTTAAGCAATTTGGGGCACAGCTCAATGCTTCATCAAAATTTTCCTAGGATTTCTAGAACTTTCAGGACTTGCACTAAAACAGGGACTTGTTGAGTTTTTTCAGTTCATACGAGTTCTTTTTTATAGCAGTCTACTCCCTATGCTTGATAATTTCTGCTTGATTCATTTGTTTTACACTTCTCAGTCTTTTATCGTATGCAGGTTTCGATGATTTCTTCTCCTTTCTTTGCGGCATCAATGGCTCTGCTCCTGTAGTTCTAAATTATACCGGTCTTAGCTGTAATGTCTCCAACATGAATGGCTCAGACCTGAACTTACCTTCAATCACTGTAGCAGTGCTTAACCAATCAAGAACTATCACGAGAACAGTCACAAACATCGCCAATGATGAAATTTACGGAGTTAGCTGGAGTCCTCCTTATGGAGTCTCAGTTTCGATAACACCCAAAAAATTTTCTATAGCAAGTGGGCAGATGCAAAATCTAACGGTTGTTTTGAATGCTACATTGAACAATTCATCTCCCAGCTACGGAAGAGTAGGTCTTTATGGAAGCAAAGGTCATGTGCTAACATTTCCATTGTCTGTGATCTCAAAGATCATTTATAATAGCACAGTGAGCTGAAGGTGGCTCGATTATTTTAGTTTTCTCGCCATTTTGACCCAATTTTTTGTTGTTTGTAAATTTTGAAATGTCAATGTAATTAGAAGGGTGATCGACAAATAATTGTAATGGATGTATTTTTTTGTTTTACAGAAAGCTGAAATTTAATTAAAACAGGTCTAAGATTGTACTGGTTTTTGCTGTTAAATGGTTCAAGTATGTGGATTTTTGTCTTTGTGATGTGTTATTTTTTATAGTTGACGTTATGTATTGATTTCTCAAGCAGCCTGCTGGCTTTTCATGTCACTGAGCAGCTCAAAGTGCCGGTTATCTATTTGTTCCTCATCTTATTAGATTTTTTTATGTTGGCATTATGAAATTGGTTCTGCTGAGGATAGTGCTAATTTTTATATTGGTATCATACGCCACCTTGCTATTTTCCTATGCATCGTATTATTGGTTCATAAGAAACCGTATGCATCCTAAGAAGCTCATGAGAAGCGTTGGTAACTAGACCTGCAGGTATCAATCATAGAACACAACATAGGCATCTTAAGGTACAAAATGGACACATATTCCATTCTCTTAAAATCCATCTCAACATAAGCACATTCATGATCCTAAGATAGCATCTTTAGTAGCATTTACAGCAACAAGAGAGATTATTCTCAACAAACATCTTCTTCTCTATGCAACATTGAAGGAATTGACTGTGCTCTCCACAAACTTCCTTGCTCCCTTGAACCATCTCTTGTCACCAGCTTGTGCTTTGCATATGTAGAGTTTTCCATCAGAAACAGTTGCAGTTATGATCAAATGCTTGCCTCCTTCATCTCCATCAGCTGTCCTTGTTAGAACCGAAATGTTGTAGTAATCTTTTCCTCCCACAACTGAAGTTGCGGTCTCCAGTATGTTAGCAGTTGCGACAACATCAGGATCAAATCCACCCTGTCGAAATCGATCATCAGCATGGTTTTTTGGTGAAACCTTTTCAACGTAAATGGAATATTATTGGTTTGTTATATGTCTACATGGAGTTTTAGTCTCACCTCAGAAACTGTTTTGCCGGAGTATGCTTGTTTCCCTAGCAAGTAATCAACCTGCACAGAGAAATGAATTGAAATTGTGATATGATAAGTTATGAATTGACAAAGAACTATTTTGTTTACTTAAAGATTTAAGTTGTTCATAAGTCCAACAGACAGGAATATACTCTTTAACTAATTCCGAGTTGGGAAATGTAGATACATAGGTACTCCTGGCGAGCCGATCATGCATACCGGGGGCAAATAGGATGTTCATATATGATTTGAATTCTTGTCGAACAACAACAAAAGTCTTTATCCCAAAAATTTTGGGTCGGCTACATGAATCGTATCCTTTTTTCTCATCGGTTCTCTCAACTGCTATCTCCTTTATTAAATTACCCACTATCAAATCCTTCCTAACTGTGGACCTGACCATAGCCCTGCTTTCTCCATTGATTCGAATGAACTTTTATGCGGATTAAAATTATGAATTGCGTATGGCAAACAAGCTTACCTTCGACAGAAATTCTTCTGGGGGACCAAAATCCTTGATAGATTTCTTATCCGTGGGTTGGACCATGACAGTAACATTGCTGTTGGCGTCAAAGTTATCCTCATACCTCAGTACCTGACCAGGGTACTCAACCTCTTTGCTTGGGTTCCACTTCGCCGGAATGTTGATCTTAAACCCGTCACGACTAACTGCTAAAAAGTCCGTGTTGGTCTTCGGCTTCCCAAAAACATTAGCTACAGCATGAAAACAATACGTTAAATTCATTCACGGTTTCACGCCAAAAAGATTTGTGTTCAGACAGGAAATAAATATTATACCAGCTTCACCGTAGGCAGCATCAGCAGGGGAGACTTTAGTACTGAGAGCTGCACCGCCGATGAGTACAGTGAGGGCCAAACGGCGTGAGACTGCATTACTGGCCTCGTCGTCGGGCTTGTTTTGGGCCTTGCAGATGAGCTGAGTGGGCCTGACGTTGGGCCCGAGACGCTGCGAGGGGGTCCGGGCTGTGGTTGTGGAGGGTGCGTGGTGGTGGAGGAAGCAAGCGGTTGACGCCATTTCTGTTACTGGTAAGTCTTCGAGGTCGTTGGGTCTTCTTGATTTTTGCTAAGCTTGCTTTGTGTTTGTGAGGTGCACAGGCTTTTGTTTAGGGTGTTGAGGGAGCGTGGATGAGTGGAGGGAAATGGGTTGGTGTGGATATTGGAGGGATGTGTGAGTGGGATCAGAGGAAGATTGAAGGATTTGGATTGGATAAGGTTTGAGGGAATTTGATTGGGCCATGCTGGCTTCTGAGGGTTGTTATTTTGTCATCTCAATCTCCGATGTTTTTTTTTTAAATTATTTTAAATCTTTATTTGTGTACATACAGTAGTTTCTTCTTTGCGTGCATTTTAGGTGAAGATATATTAATGCTTAGTTAGAAATTTCAAATGGTTACATGCATCATCCTCAAAATATATGTTCAAATGTAGACAGTTAAGAGTTGAAGATAAAACTGTTCTGCTACTGAAATATCCCAACTTTATAATGTACCGTGTACAATATAATTACTCGCAGAATGTTTAGTACTTCGCATAGTTTCTTTGTTAACTACTTAGTTTAAGTTCCGCTATACCATCAACAGGGTACGATCTATAAAATTAGCAATAATTCAGATTTTTATAAAATACGAAAAATTATCTCCTGATCAGTTTAGATTATGATCAGCGAGAAACCTTACACAAAAATTTATTGAAGCATGAAGAATACAAACTGAGGACATCAGTTGAGCTGTCCAAAGAACATTTATGGCATAAAACTTGAGAGTATACATAAAACTACATGCCTTTCTAATGTAGTATTTACCATAAGGCAATGCCTACATGCCTGATAAAATTATCAATGCAAGATTTCGATATTTTGACATTCATATTATGAATGGTTACATGACATGCAATTGCAGCTCTAAAAAATTAAATGTTAAAAAGGTCGACACTGGAGGATGGTACATGCTACTGGTTCCATAATTCATCTGGTTGAATAATAAGCCACAACTCAAAGATACTTACCACAAAAATGAGAACAATGAATTCCTCATTAAGGTCCTGATCATTTGGCCACCTCATACGAGCAAAATTTGCAATCACGTCGACGAGTACCTTTGATGTCAATATTTCATCAATCTACAAGATAACTATTTCATCAATCTACAAGATTAAAGGCACAAAACAAGAAGTTTGAAAATTTTCAAAGCTAGACCACAATTTCTCTTCCTCCATATAATATAATCAAATACAAACATTTGAATCATAGTATAATGAGATCTCCAACATTACACAAACTAATCAAATTGCAACCTACGCCCCTCAATCATATTTGGCAAAAATACTATTAGTAATAAAAGCCGGCACATGCAGGTCATCTAATATCTTTTGCACAGAAGGAAGCTTGGGAGAGGCTATGGGAGGCAGTGAAATATCTGGCATCTCCACCTTAAAACTCTCAATATTAATTTTCGGAACATTCGTCATATTTGCCTCTTTCTGATTGCTTGAACCTTCTGGAAGTTTCTCCGCACCGTGATCTTTCAAAAAGTTAGCTATATGATCTTTCGGTATATTTGCAGGAATCTTGGCTGGATCAATGCCGGCAAGATTAGCCAAATCTTCAGGTGGCATAGAACTCAGTTGAGCCAAAACGTCAGGGGGCATAGTGCTCAGCTGGGACAAAGTATCAGGTGGCATAGAATTCAAGATAGCTTGCATCTCATCAGGAGATAAGGATTCTGTTAGGGTTCGAGCTGCGAAAGAAAGATGAGCATTTGATGTTAAGATGAAGAAGAGGATTGGGAATAAAATTTGCTCCATCTTTTTCGTGTTGGAGGAGGAGAATGGTTGCGGTGGTGAGATTGAGGTCATGGGTTGAAATAGTTGATGACAATGTCAAATGATATAGAGTTGGTTAGGGATTAGTGGAGGTGGTAGCTTGTTTAAAATTGGGTTAAGAACAGGATATAGTTTCTGAAAATAGTAATCAGAAAAAGTCCTTTTTGTGTTTATCCATTAAGATTTTTGGGTGTACGCCAGCTATTCATTTCAGTAGCATGTGTCTGAACTTCGAGTTCATGGGAAATAATGTGAGTGATACACAAACAATTATGTCGTTGATCATTTGTATAATTCCATAGCTTGAAAGAATGTAACTTGGTCCAATCTTGTCAAATTTTCAGTTCCATGACATTCAATAACGTCTTCATTTGGTAAGCCTTTATATCAGTTTCACCATACTGAAATAAATTTTATGAAATTAAACAGAGATGCTACTACAAGGAAACATAACGCAGAACACGGGAGAAAAAGATGAAGAAGCTGGACTGACAACTTTATATAGGGGAAAAAAAGCTAACCCAAACCTGAAAATGTGCCCTATAAAGAACTTATCGCAACTAAGCGACAGAAATAACAACAGAGACTTTAGCCCAAAATTTTGGGGTATTTATCGCAACCAACGGATTACAAACTGTCATTTTATACATTTCATAAGAAATAAACAAGAGAAGCTGTACCTGTCACAACAAATTCTACAAGAATTATATTGTGCTAATAAACATCAGAGAGAAGCTCTCAGTTACAAGAACAACAAAGCCCACATCAACTGATCAATGCCAGAATAAACAAATATCCTGAAAGGTCCCCTTCAAGAAGCTTTTTGGGCTGTCCATGAATGCTGTACATCATTACAACCCTCATCCTAATTTTAGTTGTCTTGAGACCTTGTGTATAACCTGAATGTATTAAATTGACTTTGTAACAAGGGCCCCTCCTCAACATACAGGGGCAAGATAAATAAGGTTCCTTCAAACTTAAATAAATAATTCAATTACGAAAGTAACCTCCAATAGAAAGACAATATATGATCAAAACCAGGCACACCTAGGAATAAACTTTCAAATCCGAGTATAACCACCTCCTTGATGTCCACTATTTTGGTATCTCCTCAAAGACTTTCTATTGCGAGAGTAACTCCTAGGGAGTGTCCGTCGTCCTCTCCATGAAGAAATATGAGAATATATAAATGGAAAAGCAAAGGAAAGTAGAAGAATGAACACAATCCCAGCACATATCAGCATCACGTTTAGGAAACCGTCTTTAAGAAGAGGATCTTTTTGTTCTGTCCATGGCACACCCCCCACATTCATCCCAAAGACTGAGAAAAGCGGCACAAGAAAATGATATTTACACCAATTTAAATCTGAAATTACATCCTATTATGTACAAAGGAAAATAACTTTACCTCCCGTGACGATGGATAAAGGAAGGAAGATGATTGAGAGAAAAGAAAGATAATAGAGTTTCCTATTTATTTGCTCAGCTTGCCAGCTATCGAGACCAGCTTAAACAGCAGTTACTCTATTTACTATGAATCCAAGGTTCTCCTTAAGCCTCCTAAGGCGACTGATTAATTCTTCAAAAGCTACAATGTCTTCACCAACAAACCAACCTTTGGCTGCACATTTCTCTTTTACGCGTGGAAATACTTGTTCACCATGAGCAACTACCTGAAGGGGAAAATTTTATAAAGAACTTACAAATTGAAAAAATTGAAGCTGCTATGTTTGTACTCCCTCTAATGAAACCTTGTGGGAAATTTGCTTCCTACATAAGAATATATATGCATGAGAATACTTGCTTGTAGAAGGCGCTGCAAATTCAGATGCATTTTAGCAAATTTTCTGTCATCCAACATTTGTTTCTTCAATGCAGAACCACCTACAGTTAAAGATATAACTCTATTTAGAAAGATACTCGTGCAGTGGCAGAGCCAAGAATTTTAGTGAGGGGGTCCAAAACATAATTAAACACAATAACCTATATTTTTTTGCATGATTGATTAGGCATCTAATATCATTCTTGAAACCATTTCGTGGCATCTAAACAACATAACAAGCCTTTCAAAATCATATTTCAAATTAGGATATAGTGTATATTATAATTTTCTTCTTGCCTCCATTTTTTTAAATTGTTCATGACATCTTCCTTACCAATGTTACAAAATATATATTTTTCAATATAAGACAGCAAACAGTCATTTGTATACTCATCTCCCATCCGGTTTCAAAGGTCATTCTTAATAACTTTCATTGCGGAAAATGCTCTCTCAACATCAGATAAATATGAAAAGAGAGCTCCATTTGAATTCCTCATCATTTGGGCCGAGGGCCAAAGGTGAAAAGAGCTAAGGAACTCATTACATGAGGGCGAAGAGAAGAACCAAATGCCAAGGGCAAAGAGGAACGGAAGGTGAAGAGAGAAAGTGAAGTTGTTGTCCGTCTCTGAGAGGATTTTGAGGAAATCTAAGGCATTCTATACATTTTACCCTTTATGAAATTACTATTAGCCAAATACCCTTATTTGCTTGATTTTTTTTATTATTCCAAGGGGAACGAGGGCCCATTTGACCCATAATTGGCTCTGTCCCTGTACTCATGATTAACAATGTGAAAATCTCTGGTATTCATTTCATACAACATAAAAACTTGGCTTGGCAGTTATCCAGGCCAATAGAAGAGAGAGATTTGTACCAGTGATTATTTAAACCTGCTGAGTTATTATTTTTAAGTCAACACGGATCTGCATGACATGAAAAGATGGCAAAGCTAGTTGTAACATGGATCCTAGATATGCAGCACCCTTATAAAGATGAACTAAGTATCATGTGAGGTATGGGTACATCAGTATCACACATACGCGTGCACGCACACATTTTATCTCCTCCCTTCTTTATAACTGTCAACTATTTGTTTATGTTGCGTTATCATTTATCAGCAATATGGCAAGAACTTGAATTGGGTGACACTTCTTATTTTTATTAGGTGACGCTACGCTTCTCTTTCGTGCTATTTATCCTATTCTAGAGTTTGTCATATTCTTTCATACATGCACATCCATAATAATCCATATGCATACGCCTCAGATTTATTAGTTATCACTCATCTCCACTTACAAAACTTTGGTTGTTCCCCATCCCTTTGCAAAATCTTAAAGGTAGTAAATTGGTTCTTCTTCAATAGGGTACCTTCTACTACTTATTTCCTTTAGTTTATCATCCAGTCATCATCTACAAATATTTTGATATTGGAGAGGGTTAGACATGAATCTAGACTCCTCCTCACCTCTGTTATTGTATCCCAAATTTCAGAAGAAACTCCATCGAGTTCAAGGTGAAAGGCAAAAAAAATTTCCTCGATCTAATACATTATGGATATACAACAAGTTACCCATGCCATAAACTGGTTCATCACACCGACACTTCTCTCCCTACCTCCTATTATAATTATTAACTATTTGTTTATGTTGCATTATCAGCAATATGGTGAAAACTTGCATTGCATGGCTCTAATCTTTCATGCCATTTCTGTTTCGTCTGTTCCCTTACACATGTCCTCGCTTTCTTCCATCTACGCATATCTTTATCCACATGGTTCTTTCAACATGTATTAGAGATCACACCAACACAAACTCATAGAAATCAATGAAAAACATCTCATGGATCCAAAAATCAGAGACAGTAATCTTTACCTCTATCGAGTTCCAGCTCGACGGAATCCAACTCCATCTCAAACTTCATGACAGCGTCCTGCACCTGATCCACGTGCACATCCACAACATGCACCAGCTTCCCCCGCCCTCCTCGGCACCGCCGCATCCCCGTCCTCCTCCCCTCGAAATTCATCCCCAACAGCGACTCCAACAACTCCTCCCCGATCTCCACCCCTCCCCCCTTCGTCCCCTCCAGCCTCGGTATCTCCGACAGCAAACTCCGGCCCATCGACACAAACCCTAGCCTCGGCACCCGGCCCAACGACACGCTGACCACCGAGTTCTCGGTAACCCTGGCGGCGAGTCGCAGCGTCAACGAGGATTTGAGGCGAAAGATTAGGGCGCCGTCGACGAGGCCGCAGAAGGGGCCGGCGCTGGCGAGGGAGAGGATGTCTTGGAGCTTGAGAGGAGGGCAGAGGAGGGAGATTAGGGTTTGGGCTGAGATTGAGAGCTTTTGGCTGGTTTTGGGGAGCTCGATGTGGTACCAGTTGAACTGAGGCCCATGGGCCGAGGAGGAATTGAGGTTGAAGGCGATGGTGTGGGAGTTGCCGTTGCCGTCAAAGTGGCAAGCGCGGGTGCGGGCGGGGAATGGGGCTCGGTGATGGGCTTGGGGTTGGGCCTGGTTTGGGTCCATCCCGTCGGGGTCGGAGGGGGGCAGTTCCATGGGCGAAGAAGCGGGGGATTTGTACTGGGGAGTTTGTGACCGGTTGTTTGTTGGTGGCTTGTGTTGTTGACATTTTTGATGTGGGGTTCTCTGGAATGGGAGGAGAGTGGACGCATCGTGAAGGAATACATTGAAATAACTTTTTAAAATCTTTTGCATTTTGACTTAGTCCCCCAAACCATTGACATTGCTATCAGGTCCCTCAAATCATTAAAATTACTATCAGGTCCCCGAATTCCTAAATAATTTTGAATTTAATCCCTCCAATCAAGGGGGAGTGTAGCAATTACAAGGGTTATTTTGAAACACCTTATCAGAATTCGGGAAACTAGCGGTGATTTTTCAATAATTTGGGGAACTAATTTCCCATAATTGTTTGCTTCTTCCATGCTTGACGTGAGCAACTTATTACAAAATAACCTAAGAACTGGGGTGCCTAATAGAAATTCCAATGGTATGATGGACTAATTTCAAAAACCTTAAGAAGTTGGGACCTCATAGCAGTTTCAATTATGCAAGGGACTAATGTGAAAATATGAAATATTTAAAAGAACAATATCGGAAAAACCCCTACATTTTATCACAAATTTCTTGAGATTTTTCTTTATTTGGTTTGTATTGAATTGGATTCCTGACAGATTTTTTTTCACTTTCTAACTAAACTATTCTACTTCTAGCTCCTATGTTTGAAGAGTTGTGATGCATCGGAATTTTTATATTTTTTTTAGAAGTGCAATCAAGTAGAGAAAATTTGAGAAAGTTACTCCAGAGCTCCATAATTTAAACTTTCCAAGTACTTTCATCCAATTACATGCGAACGCAAACCCAATGTACGGCCAATGGTGCGTAGTCCGTCGGTCTATTGTTTTTGTTTTGTTTCATTTCATTAAATCCGGACACTCAAATGCCTTGCAATAATGCAAAATGGCAATTTTCTGATAATTGAATCATATTTAGTACCTTAGCAGCACTATTCAATGTTTATCAAGTGAATGGATCAATATGTACATAATAAAACGAAGACTGAACGAGTTAAGCTAACAGGCCGGGCCTGGCCGGCTAAGCTTTTTTCGAAAAGTAACAAACAATGCATAGCAAATAAATACGTACAGAGGAGCAAATTAAAAATAGTATAACTTTGTTTACGTGCTGGGTGTGCGTGGAAAACGTTTAAATTCAAATCTCAGCTGAAATGTTCAATGCAAAACAAAGAAAACAAAGCAAGAAGATAGAGGAAAGTGAGTTAACGCGCACGCACTGGACTTTATTGGATCACGCCTCTCCGGCCCGGCCCATGTGAAAAGAAATTCCTTGGCATGGGTTCCATGAATCTTGCTAATGACACGCGAAAGTAAATAAATAAAAAAAAACTTCCCTAATAAAAAGGTTTTGCCGATATTAATCCCCAAAATCTTTGATACTTTGAAATTAATCACCCAAATCTTTATATTTTGAAATTAGTCTACCAAATACTTAAGCATTTTGAAACAGCGTCTCAAAACTTCATTTTGAGTCTAATTATCTCCCAAGCCATTTAAGTGTTTTGAAATTAGCTCCCGTAGCTAGCTTTGGGGAATAATTTCAAAATATTTTATATATTTCAGGGACTAGAATCAAAATATAAAGATTTGGGAGACTAATTTCAAATCACTCAAAGATTTTGCGGACTAAGAATTGGGGGACAAGTGTCAATTTATAAAAATTAATGTGACTAGTTTGAAATATCAAAATACTACGAAGGGTTGGGTGACAAATTTCAAAATATAAAGATTTTGGGCCCTAGTTCAAAATATGCATATGGGGTACTAATTCATAATATGAAAGATACGGTGGGACTGATATCGAAAAAACCCCAAGAAATCCCCGGTAAGTTCTGATCTCAAATTCTTGCAAGAGATCGTCTTCCCATGGATGAATCTGAAACCAGCACCGATCTCTCTGATCGAAGCCCCAAAAGGTGAGTCCCCTTCTCTTCTCTTAATATTTCATGCCCTGTTCTTTTACTTTTGAATTTGGGAAAATTTTCGGTTCTTTTTAGTAGCAGCAATCGAGAAACTGTCCCATTCTTTGCGGTCTCAAAATAATTTGCTGATCAATTGAACCTCCTTATAAACAACAATCAGTTTTTCAAATTAGGGCCATATTTTATGCTACATGATCTAGGGTTACTGGCTGCTGGATAAATGGAAAAGAAAATTTCATAATGTTTTGTTTTGAGGCCCCAAACCCTGGTTGCTTTACTTACTTTACTATTTTGCTATCAAAAGATATATTTGATATCGTTCCTTACTGTTAAAAATGATATCTGCTGAGAGTTAGCTGAATGAAGACTGCAAGATCATGAGGTGGATGATACTGTAGGGGGGTGTTTGCTTGTCATCTTACTTTCAAAAGGTTAGATTGAGGAAAAATAACTGAATTAATATGGATGTACCGCAAACATATATTTTTCAGGTTTAAGAAAGAAAGTGGGAACAAAGAGCCATCGGATGGAGAGGAAGTTGTTGACGGAAGAAAATGGGAGGACCTGCCAATTAACTGCTTGGTGAGTGTGTTTGGCAGGCTAAGTCTTGATGACCTGACCTTGGGAGTTCCTTTTGTGTGTAAATCTTGGTATGAAGCTTCGCTTGATCCTGCTTGTTGGAAAATCTTAGATTTCCGTGCAATAGATCTGTGGGCAGGTTCGTCGTTCAATGAGAAGTTCATGCGGGCCTATCGTGTCGAGAAATTTGCATTCAGAGGGTTTTTGAAGTACATTATAAGTCGCAGTCATAAATTAGCCACAAGGCTGGTTCTTCCTGAAAGTCACTTTCCTCTTAAGGGATTTGGTCTATGTCTGCAAAGAGTAAGTGTTGAGTTTCCGTAACTCTTTTCTACATGTTCAACTTATCATGTCTAAATTCAAGCTAGAAAATGTTATGGATCATATTGACTCTCATCTGTGAGGATACCTAACAATTATAATGCTTTGTTTCACTCAGATTGCTTTCAGTGCGACGAGAAAACTTACTTTCTTCTCTTTTCAGTTAACACTCATCCGTACATTTTTTTTAATGACCCCTTCATGTGTTATTGGCCTATGGCACATCACACATTAGTAAAGAGAAAAAAGAAATTATTTGGTGAAAAGTATAATTATAAGGTAACAATAGCTCTAAACATTCTTTTCTTTTCCGCCATGATGAATTGGATACAGATGCCCGTCATTGAATGTCTTTACTTCATGGGAGGGAGAGCTAGATTGTGGAATGCCAATCCGCGGTTTAGTCCTGAAAATGAATGAAAGTATCCTGAAAGTTCGTTGTAACTTATAAATACCTGTAGGCTTTGAAGTTTTGTATGTTATGTTGCTCTTCAGTTTCCTTGTGAGTATTATTTTCTGTGTCTTATAGTATTTTTGTCTCTTATTTTTAAGCATGTTGCTGGGCAATTTGTCTAGTATCCTGTATCTCCATTAATAACGTGGTAAATGATAGTTCTCTTCGTTTTAGAATTTATTCACGGAGCAATATACATGCGGAGCAATATACATGTTAATTGGTTTTCTCTAATGTATCCCCATGTAACTTGTTTCTTGGTACTGGGTTGGTAATCAGCATTACTATCACAAGCCTAACTATAATATTGGATGCATTTGAAGTAACCTCTAATCAAAAGAAACCATGCACTTAAGGTCCTCATGCTTGTCCGCAAGAATGCTTTGGCATAGCTATTTAAATGCGAAGCTGTATTACAAAAAGTTTCACCTCGAGTAAACATTAGAAATTTCTGAATGCAGGACTCAAAACCCATATAGCACTGCTTTGCATGCTACAGTACTTACTGAAGATCTTAGATACCCGAAAAAGGGACAAAAAATTAGAATTCCTTAGTATATGTGGTTTTCTACAAATCTATTGGTTGTAAAAAAATCTCAACAACCATCTTTTGAGAACACTGCCTCTCTCATGGCCTTTTGATCTTATTGTATTCATAAATACCAGATGCTTGCATGTTGATAATTATTGAAGTAGATGTTAAGTTGATATTGCTAATTTTTCCTCTTCTTTTAAAAAATAATATTTTTGTTATTTGTCTAACTCATCTCATATAATAAACATACATAGTCTTGAGGGGGAAAGTTCTACGAATAAAAAAGAAAAAGAAAAAGAATAAAACTTCCATGCTATATATTCTGTGGTCGCCCATTTGCTTGTTTGAATTTTGAAATGGAAATTCATAATTTCATATACTTTTGGAGGCGATGCAGTTGAGAAACATGGAATTTGAAACCCAATCTAGCTATTAGATTACTTGTACTTGAGATGCTAATGAATCCCGAACCTTGTTGGCAAGGTTTTAAATGTCGGCCGACATGTCGGTTTGAGAGCTTGAGCGACACGACATGAGCGTTTTCAACTCGTATGTCGGTTTTCAGAGCTAAATCGGAAATATCGAGGCTATATCGGGCATATCGGCCGATTTTTTAGCCTTTAAAAATCGGCCGATATGGCTCTTCTATTTTAAGATCTGTTTTTTGTTATCGGGTTTGGATTTAGTGATAAAAACCCAAGCTCGTTTGACTAGTTCTCATGTTTAAGGATTTCTTATGAACCCGATAGAAAGAAAAGAGAAAAATTAGGGCTACAACGGACTTGGGAACCGATCACGACAACGCCCTTCCCCCACCTTCATCTCGGACCCCCGTCGTCCATCTCCCGTTGCGCCCCAAAATTCGAACCCTAACCGAACCCGAGGGCGACAGTGTATCCCATCGTCAGGATAAAGGGAAGAGGGTGGTCGGTGACTCATCCGAAGGACCCAGAGTAGACGAAGAAGAATAAGAAGAGCTCCGACACTGTCTCCCTGCGACGTCGGAATCCACCCATCGCTAGCGTCGCCTCTAGAATTTGTAAAATATGCTTATATTGAATTTAGGAATGCTTAGATTACATTTAGGACATGATATTATACATATGTGCACCACTCGATATGGTAATTCAATATTTAGTCCATGTCCCCCGATATATCCCCGATTTTCGCTATCCGATATGGATTTCAGCCGTCCGACATGAACCCGACATCCGACATTTAAAACCTTGCTTGTTGGTTGGATGCATTTAATTTGAATCATGATTCGTTTGAAACATACATAAGTAGCGAGTTGGCTTCTGTAAATGTTTGTCAAGAGCCAGTTTGGACGGTTGCTTATGATACGAGTCGCCGTGCGAGCACTCTTGATCGCGGAATTATCAAGAGTGGGTAAAGAAGAAAACGACTGAAGAACACAAGAGTTATAATTAGGATGAAGGAAAATCGATTACAGTGTTTCCGGTCGACCGTAGCGCCACCATCGGTCGACCGCTCTCAGTCCCGAGACATAGTCTGGGCCTGTGCACTAAGCGGTCGACCGCCGTGACCAAGCCGATCGACCGGCCAGAGTCCACCTGCAGATCCTGTAGTTTTGTCGAATCCTTTGACTTCGTCACCTCCAATGGCCTCGTCCACGACTCCTCTACTCTATTCTCAAGATACCATGAGAATCATCTATCCTCAAGCTCCCATGAGGATCGCTAAGCTCCCGAAGAGAAGATACACCCGTATCATGGGTCCCCCCTTTAGGAACTTGAAGTCCCATTCAAGTTAGAACTTCAGCTGAGGGAACTCGCGAGCCCCTCCTTCTCTGTTGAACCACTTGGCCTTGCTAGGGACCTGACCTTGACGTCCAATGAGAAACGACTCCTTCGTCCCCCGCCTCGTCGTGGTCGTCTTCCGTTCCAAAATGCAATCTTCTTTCAGTGGCTCCTCTCTATCAAACCACAAGTCTTCAACATGCGGTAAGATCATCTTGTCATCACCTTCATCATCCAATAATGGAGGCTCAAACAACTTCAAGTACTCGGCATTGATCACCGAATACATGCCTAAGTAAGGTGGCAAATCTAAACGAAAAGCGTTGTCGCCAATCTGATCGATAATCCGAAATGGACCATAACGAATAGGCTTCAACTTCTTCCCTTCTCCTTTGAGCTTCTCCTTACCTAATTTTAGCCATACCATATCGCCTTTATCAAAGTTACAAGGAGCCCGATGTTGATCATGCTTCGCCTTGTACTTAGCTTGCGATTTCTTCAATTGAGCTTCAACCGTGGCATTCGCTGAGCCCGTTGTCTTTCATTCCCCTCCTTGCCGTCCATCGTAGATTCACTTGAAAACACGAGATCAAACGGACTCGGTGGTAAGAATCCATAACAAGTCTCAAACGGTGACTTTCCGGAAGATCCATGAATCGCCCGATTGAAAGCAAACTGCAAATATGGTAAACTCTCATCCCAAGTCTTTGGATGCCTGGAATTATACCCCCGCAACATATGCACCATAGTCCGATTGACAACTTCCGTTTGTCCGTCTGTTTGTGGATGAAAGGCCGTGCTCTTCTTCAATTTAGTGTCCATCAAACTCCACAAAGAATCCCAAAAATGCCCGAGAAAACGGCTATCCCGATCCGAAATAATCGAGCTCGGCAACCCAAAGTGCTTCCACACATGCTCAAAGAACAATTGTGCTGCACCCGCTCCCGTCACGGTCTTCTTACAAGGAATCAATATCACCATCTTGCTGAATCGGTCCACCACAACGTACAAATAGTCATGCCCACGCTTGGTAGTCAGTAACCCTCCTAGAAAATCCATAGAAATGCTCTCCCACGGCCTAGAAGGAACCGGTAATGGTAGGTACAATCCCCTCTTTCTGTTAGAAGGCTTCGAAATACAGCATAACTTACACCCTCCAACATACTTGGTCACATCATCAAGCATCCGTGGCCAAAACACATGTCGCCGTAGATTGAGAAGCGTTTTCTGAATGCCAAAATGCCCTTGCACACGCGAGGTATGCGCTTCCCGAATCCACTGCAACCTATCACCATCTTCCGGAATGCATAGTGATGTCCCACGATACAACAAGCCATCTTCTCCAAGTGCATACTCCCCCCTTCGACCAGCCTTCGCCTGCTCAAACACACTACCGAAGTCCCTACTAGATGCATACAGCTGTACATACTCCAAAGGAACCAATGGCTGAATACGCGTCGCCACCAATAAAGACCTTATCGGCGGCTCCACCTTGCCTGGATCTATCCTCCGCTGGCCCTTCCCTACGATGAAGCCGAGATACACCAACTCGTCCTTCCCGAACTCGCACTTTTTCCCGTTGAGCTTCAGCTGTCCGTCCTGCAACACTTCAAATACCTTCTCAACATGAACGAGATGCTCCTCCCAAGTCCTGCTGTACACCAAGATATCATCAAGGTAAACTATCACAAAATCCTCTATAAAGGGTCGCAACAAATTATTCATAAGCCTCATAAAGGTAGCCGGAGCATTGCACAATCCAAACGGCATCACCAACCACTCGAACAGGCCTTGCTTGGTCTTGAACGCAGTCTTCCAAGTGTCTTCCTCCCGAATCCTCACCTGATGGTAACCAGACTTCAAATCCAGCTTCGTGAAAAACCTCGCTCCCTCCAACTGGTCCATAAGATCATCGATCCGTGGTAATGGGTAACGATTCTTGATGGTTATCTTGTTGAGCTCCCGGTAATCCACGCACATGCGCCAGCCTCCATCCTTTTTGGGCACCAACAACACTGGTGACCCGCAAGGCGAACAACTTGGCACAATCACTCCTGTCTCCAAGAGCTCCTGAACTTGCTTCTTGATCTCCTCGGACTCTAGTACTGATGTGCGGTATAGGCCTATGTTAGGTAAGGAACTCTCCCCGGTCAACATAATCTCATGCTCTATACCTCGACGTGGTGGTAGTCCTGTGATTTCCAAAAACAAGTCCGTATACTTGACCTTCAACCTGTCAAGATCTCCCTCCTGGAGCTTGCTCAAGGTGGACAAGCACGTCCTACTCAGCTGCTCTTCATACGGCCGAATGAACAATAAAACGAACTTCCTGCCCGCGTTCACCAACCTCTTAGCCTGAGTCACTGTCACCAAGCTCGTCTCCTGTGGGAGAGATGCTGAACGAAAAATGAATTGCTCGCCATCCTTGTTGAACGTGTACTTTTGGGCTCGCCGATCATATACTGCGTATCTATCCCACAAATAAGGATTGCCCAAAATAACTTGGCAAACATCTAACGGAACCACGTCGCATGTGACCTCGTCAATATACGACTCGTGGAGTGCAAATCTGAATGAACACTGGTTCACCACACTCAATCCCGCCTCCTTCTGAATCCACCCTAATGGATAGGGCTTCGGATGCTTCACCGTCTTCAATCCCAGCTTCTGTACTAATGCCTCAGATATCAGATTTTTCTGACTCCCTGGATCTACAATAGCATCCACTAAGCTGGTCTTGACCTGCAATTTCAGAACAAAGAGCTGCTCCCTCAGGTCGTCATCTTCTTTGGTGGTCTGCTTCCCGGCCATAAGGTTGAGACTGCTATTGGGTTCGGTCATCCCGGGAACCTCCTTCGGACCCTGTGCTATCACGTACGCCTTCTTCTCCTCCTTCTTCTTCAATCCTTTTGGCTTCAGATGAGGATACTTATCCCAGCAACGATCAGCCACGTGCCCTGTCTGTTTGCAGTGATTGCATGTCAATCCTGCTTTCCCCGAGTCACCCTTCTTCTTCTCATCCTTAGACTGAGAGCCACCCGTCTTGCTCCCCGTTGGTTTGGAATCCCCCTTTGTCTCGTTGCCCTTCTTTTGCCGGCCCTCAATGGCAATGGTCTTCACGCTCGCCTTTGCGATTGTCTCCACTGAAAACAGCTTCATCTCCTTCCGGATGTAATCATTCAGACCCGCCATGTACTTCATGAAGATGGGGGTATTCTGACGTTGCGATGTTTAGGACCATCGCCTGTTGTTGGAACTCCGTCGTGTACTCTTGAACGGTCTGATTAAATTTTTGGCGCAAGCCATACCACTTGTACCAACGCTCCTCAAGGAACCCCACTGGATAAAACTGTTTCCGAAGTAGCTCCTTGAACTTGTTCCACGACGCCGCTTTCTTCTCTTGTTTGCAATAGGATTTCCACCACGTCAACGCGTGCCCTGAAAGCTTCAATGTCGCGAACACTATTTTCTCCTTGGATGAATATCCATAGAGAGTGAAGTACATCTCCATGCGTTTGATCCAATCATCAAGCTTCTCCATATTGATACTCCCATCATAAACAGGAATCTCAACCTTGAAGTCAATCTTCAGATTCTGGTAATGATTCTTACCCCCTTGATGTCCAGCAGTCTTGACCATCTCAGTCTCCCCCTCTGAATAAGCTTTCTCGCTCTCCTTATCGGATTCGAAGAGTCCCTTCTTACCCTTCGAAGAAGATTCCTCCTTTTTGTCTCCTCCGTTGATGAGACCCACGAGTTGGGTAAGAGTCGTCCCGATCGTCTCAATCTGCTTCTCCATGGCATCAAGTCTTGTTGAATTATCTGCTTCAGACATCTTCTCCTTCCTTAATTTCTGGACCCCCTCCGAGGAATTAAGGATCTCGCCAAGCTTCTTGTACTGTGAGCGAGTAAGGACCATACACAGTTCCCCCCTTCACAGGATCTAGTGCTCTGATACCAACTTGATACGAGTCGCCGTGCGAGCACTCTTGATCGCGGAATTATCAAGAGTGGGTAAAGAAGAAAACGACTGAAGAACACAAGAGTTATAATTAGGGCGAAGGAAAATACCTTCTCTAGATTATGAGAATCAATTGGATTTACAAAATCTCTCTCTCACAATCTCTCTAGATCAAAGAACAACCTCCCTGATCTCTTTTCTGATTACAATCTGAGTTCTAAACCCTAGAAAAGTCGTGTTTCTATTTATACTAAACAGAAATCCCAACTGGAGCAGGAAACAGACCCAGGCCCGGAACCGCTACGCGGTCGACCGCAGTGCCCAAGGCGGTCGACCGGTCAGAATGACGAAAAACTGGAAAATCGATTACAGTGTTTCCGGTCGACCGCAGCACCATCATCGGTCGACCGCTCTCAGTCCCGAGACATAGTCTGAGCCTGTGCACTAAGCGGTCGACCGCCGTGACCAAGCCGGTCGACCGGCCAGAGTCCACCTGCAGATCCTGTAGTTTTGTCAAATCCTTTGACTTCGTCACCTCCAATGGCCTCGTCCATGACTCCTCTACTCTATTCTCAAGATATCATGAGAATCATCTATCCTCAAGCTCCCATGAGGATCGCTAAGCTCCCGAAGAGAAGATACACCCGTATCAGCTTATGTAGCATTCACAATTTCTCTGGAGTGGAAATCTATGTATAACTGCCACAGATAATATTTGAAATCCATCTCTTGAAGATCAACATATCACAAAATAATGGAATCCATACTCCACAAGTGCAGAGGTATGTCTCTCTTTAGTGGTAGGTAGAAAAAGGATGTGTTTGAATATTGTATTCACGGGGGGAAAATATTGTATTCACGGGGGAAAATCTTTTCTTTTCCATATTGGTTTTTATTCTTGTCTTACAATTTAATAATCCATGATATTTTTATATCCATTTTTTTCTAGCTGAGGTGCATAAGGTTATATTTTGGACTGCAAAACATAGTATTATTAGTTAGGAAGATTTATAATTGGTAATGTGAACAAATCTCTCATAACTTCATAGATAGATTTGTTATATCCTTTATCAGTTGCAATTGCTGAATTTTTGTGATCTTCCTCTCATGATCTTATCTTTTCAAAGATGGGTTTTTTGTATTCACACATACCATCCAGACTGCTATATTGTTTGTTCTATAGTGGGTTTTTTGTGTTCACACATACCATCTAGACTGCTATATTGTGTGTTCTATAGTTCACTTGGATCCCGTTCTTTTTTATGCTTTGGGTGGAGTAATTGAGTATGAACTCTAGAAAGCCATCACAAAAGAAGGCAATAACAATGAGGGGGCAGTCAACGGTAACTTGAAGAGAAACATTCTAATTAACGAGAGCTTCAATTATATTTTAGAGGAAAGTTGAGCCTTCATCTACGTTGACCTCATATGTGGTCAGTTTTTCTTATCCTGTATCTGATGTGACACTTTTTGCTTAGGATGTGAGTCATGTGACATATAGGTTTTTCGTTTGATTCAGTTAACAATGTTAATTTCGTTTGATTCAGTGAACAATGTTAATTTATCTATGATGGCAACAAAGGAAGGTTAACGTGGCGAAACTGAAAATGAAGCATGTAGTCCTTCATTTTTTTTAATTTTTCTTGAACCTTCAACTTTCATTTACACTCTTCCACTAATTCAATAATTCTTAACCTGTAACCTCTGGATGAAGAAGGCACTTCTAAGATTTGAAACACAGTCCTTGAAATTCGTGCCTTATTGTACTGAATACTGACATCAATTATGGGCTGTAATTTTATGGTTTTATGACTATTTTGTGCTTGTATGATATTTGGTCCCAGACTTCCAGCTATTGCCAACATTTATCTGCCAAGGTTACTGTCTTAGTGATACCATTAGCATCTCCATCATGTTTATTTATTATTATTATTTTTTTCCGTATTACGATTGCCATTAGGATACTGCAAGTGCTTGTATTATGTTGTTAGTTTTTCAGACATGCTACTTTCATCTTGCATGATTATACTTTTAACTTTCACTCTGTCTGTTTCTTTCCTTTGCTGTCCTCTGAGCAAAAGTTGCGATGATTGACGCGCTCCCAAGTCACTTAGTCTGTCTTCTGTTAATGGACGACGCCATCACAGTTAAAAGACTTCTGAACAAGATGGTTAAAAGGAGGGCACATGGACAAATTTTCCAGTTAAATAATTTCTATACACGAGTGCATTGACCCGATTCGAGAAATGAGACATGTCCTTTCGAGGACTGAAGAAATCCATTGTTGAAGGCAGTACTTTTGGGAGCTGGACAGTGAATTAGATTGGCATATTGCAAACCTGTTCTCTTTTTTCATTCTGTTTCTTTTGGGTTATTTGCAGTTTTAATACTCCAAAGTTTAAATCCTTTTTTAAATTTGATACCCTGAAGTTCTATTTTGACACTTTGATACTCCAAACTTTTGAAATTGACGTTTATTTGCCTATTCGACACCCCTGAAGTCCAAAGTGTGTTCCTTGTTTTCCCCAAGCTCAAAAGGCCGAAATTTGGCTTAAAAAGTTGTTTCGGTTTGCTTTTCTTATGTTGGCATTCTCGAACAAAACTGTTGTCAACTATTTTGCGCTTTGGAGTATCAAACTATCATAATAGAACTTCAGGATATGAAAGTTGAAAAGGGGTGAAACTTTGGGGTTTTTAAAGTGCAAATGATCCTTTTACTCCTAATGATGACGCATCATGCTGAGTAGTAGGTAAATTTTCATTGCCTGCTCTGAAAGTTGGCCGAGTGCGGGGGTCCGTTGGAAAAAGAATAAGTGATCTCCAGAAGAAAGCTGAAAGTGAGTGTTAGTGGGATACTGATTGTATCTACAATGCTTAAGGTCAAGGCCTAACCATAAAAATTCTCATTATTATATACTCTTATGTTATGTGATGGAGATTATGTTTTGCAGTAGATTAAGATTTAACCCACAATTCTTGTTGTAGTTGTTAGATTTCAGGTTTGAAAGATGGCTCAGTGCTGCTTGTTCCTGGAGAAAAAGAAAGTTGCCTCCACAAAAGTTGAAAGTGTGTTGAAGTGGGCCCTAATGGTACCTACAAAGCCTAACATGAAGGCTGTATGAGGAGGAGTCTGGGCGTTTTGATTGGTGCTTTCACAATTTTGTTTTATGCACGTAATTCCTTTGTTGTTGTAGTATTAGGTTTGAGATTTGGACATCCAATTTGTTTTCGGAACAGAAAAGAGGTAAGAGAAATCTCTAGATTTAATTGTTAGTGAAGGGGAGTAGCTAAACCTGTACCTTTTAGAGCGCCTCAGGTTGAAAATTTTGCGCACGTTCAGTCTCAAATTTGAAGTCGATTTCCTTGTTGGTGAATGAAATTGACTAGCGAGTCCTTTTGAAGTTGATAAATTAGGAGAGCGTTAGGTGGCGGCTTACTTAAATTTGACTTTTTTTCTGTGTCCTTACCAAGTGCTGCAAGGTATCATTCATAATTTGGTAGACCTTCAAAAAGATTTTGATCCACCCAATAACTATTGATGATTGTGGAATGAATTAAGAAATCAGTGTTCTTACCACAGTCATATGTACATGTTTTGTACACGATTAGTACAACGTCTGTGATTTTTAGTATAGAAAGACTATGTCTTTAGCCATGAATATCCAATAATATTTAGACATTTCAATATTATATATCCTCTATACTTGCATTATTTATCCTCCTTTTTTACTCAAAACCGAATCGTAACTACCTATTAAATTACATAAATAACCTTAAAAAGTAATATCGCTATATCTAACAATAATACAATAGAAACTAAAATCTCGACCCATCATAAGCTAACGTATTAAGGAGTCATGCGTTATTATTAGGTGACAAGTATTGCTACCTAAATTTTATATCTATTGAACCAACCTCAAATTTAATAGGCTACGTGGTGGATTTATGTGGTGATGTAACATCGGTAGGGGCCAAATTATGATCAATCAATCACACTAAATTACTCGCCAACAGTGCTATACGCCGCCCACGGTCCAAAGAAAATTGCTGGCGAATGAAAATCGTACAAAATTAAACATCTTACAAATGACAATCGTGATTAAAAATAACGGTCTCTGTAAAAAAAAAAAAAAATTTACGAAGAGACTCTAAATTCTAATTTTACATGATTGATTTGCAACGCTCCATCTTCACATAACACAAACATTCAACGGATCACAGTCATCATTCTCAAAGTCATAATCATCAAAGACCACCGACCCCCGACTCTCAAAAATCTTAATCCCATCGACCAGCTTCCTAATCTCCTCGTCCCCAGAATCAAACCCGACGCACTCGTTCAAAATCAATTTCTCAATCTCTTTGCATCCCTTGACGATCACAACCAGGTGCTCTTTAGGCAAATACGCCCTGCTCAAATCCAACTCCTTAATCCCCTTAAAACAACCCGCGATCGCCGTCGCATCCTCTCTCTTAATCGATCCCGCCATTTTCAATGCTCTAAATTTCTTACAGTTGGTACTGATCCGAGCGGCTAATCGTGTAAATGGCGATGGCTTCGATCCCATTTCAAGACGTTCAAGCTCCTTCCACTTTGCGGCGAGCTCTGTGATGTGGACTTCGTGTTCGAGCATCAGCTTAGGCAAAGTGATCACTTTCAACCTCTGACATCTACAATAAATAAAACGAGCTAAATAAACTAAATAACAGCCGAAACGAATATATATCTCACGGCTATATATTGCTGGTATATGCTAGCAGTACTCACGTGTTTGATACGCGGGCCAAGTCGTCGACGGTCGGGCTGAAATCTGCGGGCAGACGGAGCTCGACGAGGGACCCGCAGCTTCGACGGACGAAGTATTTGATGAAGGACGATAAAGAGAAATTCGAAAGCGAGTAAAGAGGGGAGAACTGCTTAGCCAGGCTAGTCCAAGGAAAGAAGGTGAGGGATGGGATGTCGAGGATTCGAAAGCAGAGAGGATCGGTAGAGGCTTTGGACCAAGATTTGCAGACGAAAGGGAGGCTGAGGATCAGGTCTTGGAGGTCTAAGCGTTGGAAGATGTTGATTAGGCAATCTACCTCCATTTCTTTCCAATTTCTTGCTTCTTCTTCCTCCATTTTCCTTTTTCCTTTTTCTTTTTTTTTTTTTGGGTGCGGGGGTGGAGGGGCGCTGAGGTTTGATCTGTTACCTTTCTCTCTGTGGGCAGACGAGGTTTTTGTATGTGTGGTGGGGAGGAGTGGTTGATAGTTGACGGTGCTAGGTGTCGGAAGAAATTAATAGCCACATCAAATGACCAGTTAATAAACTAAGGAAGTGGGGATTTTTACGTATCCAAATAAGTAATTATAACTGATAACTCTCTCCATCTGTAATCTCAACGGGCACCTTTTTTACTCTATAAAAAGTAGTCGCCAAACAATAATAAAAACAGAAAAATTACCACTAGTAGAAAATCAAGTTTTGTAGACGGAATATTCTAGACGGAAATTTTTCCGTCTAGTTTGGAATATTCTAGACGGAAAATTTCCGTCTAGGATAAAATATTCTAGACGGAAATTTCCGTCTAGAATAGTATCCTAGACGGTTTTTATATATTTAATTTTTTTTAAATATGACCAAGTATCCTAGACGGAAATTTCCGTCTAGGATGTTTTGACTCGTAAAAAAAGAAAACCAAATTTTCCCACCAAAATCGAAATTCAACCCCCGCCTCCTAAAAATTCCGCCCCAAACATAACGCATAAGAAACCCTACCCCGCCCCTAACTTCTTTAACTCCGTTTCCCTTCCTCCCGCCACAAAAGATAACGCTCCTCTTTGTGTCGGCAAGGAATCATGGCCACCGCGCGACTGATCTCTTATTGCCCACCTCTTCCCCGTTGCACGCGCTTCGTCAAGCTTCCGCCCTTTCCTTCCGCGTCACCCTCTAGATCCGTTCCCCACCCACTTCCCTCGGCCATCCTCTCCGCATCCGGCCACCGCTCTCATGCTTTCAAAGGGGAAGAAGATCAGCACCTTCGAGGGAAAAAATCCCCCGTCGACCATCTCCTGGCACTCCGCACGCCCCCATCTCCCGCCGCCCCCACCTCTCAGGGCTGTCAATTGCGTTGGTCAATGTGAAAAAATTTGGGGGGTTTTTTGGGTGGAAATCCGACCACTGCTTTCCAAGCTGCCATCTTTCATGGTCCCTTTCTCCTGCTCTGCGCCTAGGGTTCGTTCCATCTCTCCCCCTTAATTCCCCTATTTTTCCTCGATTTTTTTTGATATTTTTATAGTTTTTTACGGTGTAGAATTGATCTGGGTTTAAACCTTCTGATGATTAATCGTTAGGTTTGTTCAATTTCTGCTTTTGCTTGATGTAGAATTCTTGAACTGTGGATGCACAAGATCCTTTTTTTTAAATTTATTGATCTCATTATACTAATTATTGAATCTTACTGTTTGTTTAAATTTTAGGATTATAGTTAATGCACATGTGACGTGAGTGTGGTGATCATATTAAGGGTCTAGACATGTAGAGCACACAACAGGGTCGTTACAAGATGATTCTATTTAGGGTACTTCGATCCAGTATAGAATGACTATTTTGATCGAGGGGAAGCTGGAATTCATACTAGGGTGATCCATTTTCGGATATCTGACTTCAATTAATTTTTCTTTCAATGATTTTTAGAAAGGGTGTAAAGGTCATGTGGACCTGTAACTTGAGAAGATGATAATCCTCAGCTATTTCTTAAAAAAAATCATCATGCTATGAGCTCCTTTCAGCTTAACTGGGTCTGCACACAAGCATGTTTTCCTATAGCAGCATCAACATACACCATAAGAAAATGGAATTTCCTGAAAATGGAGGAACTAACTTTTGTATAATTTTAGATTTAAAAGATACTATTGACTTACTCCAAGAAGTTGCTCATAATTTGTTTATAGAATCATATTATAGATGTTTTCGTTGTTTAAATTCCTAAGAAAAATACTATAACAGAGCATAAAATCCTTTTTTTAATCTTTCTTTCGATTTCGTAAGAAACTTAAAATTTTCTTCTGCTTCAGTAGCCACAGTTATCTTGAGGGCTTGTAGGAACTTCACAGAATGTTCTTGTGCAAAGGAAACCCTTGGAGTGGAACTCGTTTCTGGCCTTCTGTCTTGCTTCTCTGTTCTCTTGTGAAAGTGGTCAATGCAATTTCCAGTTAAGTTTTCATTTAAAAAATTTTGATGAATCATTTCTTTTATTTAGAGTGTATAGATGTTTGTTTAGTGTCTGTTAGAGTATAGGCTATTTTGGTTCGGGGTCGATATTTTTCACCTGTGCTTCTTGTTTCTCTAAGGATTCTAATTTCAGGTATTGTTGTCTAAATTACAATTTTTATATGTATTTTGACATAATCAATCTCAGTTTTGTATTGTTTTTGGGAAATTAGTAGCATAATATCGGCAGCATCTCATGTGGGTTTTTTGAGTTTGGACATTGCTTTTCTCAAAGATTCTCTGCTTCAAAGGTGTTTGAGGATTTTCCTCTTTCAAGTTCTTCTCTAATATTTGTTCTGAGAACTGTCCAAATGATGTTAAAGTTTTATGCAAGCAGCAGCAGAAGCCAAGAGTCGGGAAGTTGCAGTTATGTATATGTGAAGGCTTATCTGAGTTTTTGGAAACATAGCTATTGCAGCCCGGCATGCTCAACGTGTACATGGATTGAAGCGGGTTCTTATAATTGATTTTGATGTTCATCATGGGAATGGTACATGTGATGCATTTTATGATGATCCAGACATTTTCTTCATTTCAACTCATCAGGTAAAAGCTCTTCTAGTTGAATATGTATTTGTTAAACAGTTAGAAACATATATATTGTGATGAGAAACTAATGTGTTGTTCTCTTAAAAGAGTAAGAGGAAAATGAAAATGAAATTTCAGTTTGTTCACAGTTCAAGTTGGCTTTGGCATTGAATTTGTTGTTCTCAACTGACTGTTCATTTTAAACCTAGATTTATATCTTGGGAGCTCAGTCAAGGCATCCAAAGCATACGAGAAAGTTCATTACAGTATGCAAATGACAATGCCTTGCAGCTTGCCAAGGTGAGTAAAATTCTGAATCCTCTTCTCAAATATCTTTTGTATATATACATGAAGTGCATGCAAAAGAATGTTGTATATAAATAGCACCTGTTTTTTCAGGACATCAAGGTGCTGATATATCCATTGCTTAGACTTTATTGCTCACATTTCATACTAATTCTAAACGAGATGCTTCTATTGAGTACTTTTTTTTTGTTTTGCTGGCATGCATCTGTTTTATTAAAATGTTAGTTAATCATGATGATTCACATGTCCTACAATAATCGGATTGTTCATCTTCCTTTGACATGAGTGGCATCACAAATTTTAAGGCATGTGGTTCATGGCACCTAAAAGTTGCCGTTGTGAGAAGTCTTGGCAAAAATGCACAGATTTATTTATCTTTGATTTTGAATGATAATATATCTTTGTTTTTGAATGATAATATCGATGGTAAAGGCATGCATGATGGTGGGGCTGAAGGGAATCGTTTCAAGAAGGTGAAAAGCGAAGATACATGCGATCATTATTTGAATATAATGGGATTTGATATTGGAATATAATTATATTGTGTTGGATATGAATATAATTTTTTTTTGTTCAATATCGTGTACATGCATCCCAAATAGATTCTGCAAAAAAAAAAAAAAACAAACTACTGTAGCAAAGTATCCTAGACGGAAATTCCGTCTAGGATACTAAAATTCCGTCTAGGATGCCTTTTTTTAAAAAAATTTAAAAAAAATAAAAAACATTAATTTCCGTCTAGAATAAGTATTCTAGACGGAAATTTCCGTCTAGAATACTTATTCTAGACGAAAATTTTTTCCGTCTAGGATGAATTATTCTAGACGGAAATTCCGTCTAGAATAATCCGTCTAGAATGTATTCTAGACGGTTTTTAATTCCGTCTAGAATATTCCGTCTAGGATGTATTCTAGACGGAATTTCCGTCTAGAATATTGTATCATAGACGGAAACATTCTAGACGGCTATTCTAGACGGAATTCCGTCTAGAATAATCATCCTAGACGGAATTTTGTGCATCCTAGACGGAATTTTCCGTCTAGGATGCTTAATTTTTTAGCAGTGTACAGCAGTTATCTCCTCTTCCTCCACACAAAGAATTGTCTGTTCTATCACTATTATTATTTTCAGGCAGGCTTAGAGGCTGTTTGGTTGTTGTTTGTAAAGTAATGTATTTATGACACAACTTGGAAAGTTGTTATCCAACTCATCAATTTTACTTTTGTACTTTTCTTTGTTTGTTTTTATTCCATTAGAATCATAAATTGCTTGTTTGGTTTGCAAATGTAACTTTAATTATTTGTTTGGAAAGTGTAAAAAGTGGTCCCTACTCAAATAATCATATTGGTTGGAATTATTTTTTATTATTTTTTCTGACTTCAATGTCGGCTTTCTCCTAAAATCATGTCTTTTTTTTATGAAATCACTTTACAAGCCACATCAGCATATGAAATCACTTTATACTGTAGGCGTCTAAAAATGCCTATGGGTGTCCACACACGGCTCGAGACATAGAGAAGATGATAAACATCGCTATTAGAGTCACAGGAGCTCGTTTGACAACGACAAACACATGAAGTGAGTCGACCGGTCATGCGAAGCAACGGAACTTCGGAATAACGGAAACGAGAGCTGATCGGGAGCCCCGCGTCGTTTACAAAAGGCGGGGGCACCCTTCGTGTCCCATTTATTCCACATATGATTCAATCATGGGAGCTTGTAGATCTTCTCGTTGGCTTTCCAACGCATCTTAAATCGCCTCATTCCGAGATCGGATGAGTGAGTTAAGGCTGTTACAGTAACCACGGGTCGGAATTTTGCTACAGTACCCACGGGTCGGATTTCTGCTACAGTAACCGCGTATCGGATTGGGCGCTACACTAACCGCGGGTCGGATGATGTGCTACAGTAACCACAATTTATAACATATCTAACATATCTATCAAACAACATTCTAACATATCTATCAAAGAAGCATTGGTTGAGTTCCCCTTGAAAAATATATACTAAATAACTTTGTCCATGGAAACTACAAGAAAAATTAGTAAGTATTTATAAAGTTTTATACTTTATTCTTTAAATACTAAAGGATTCATAAATTTAATATAAAATTACATACAAATAATCTTGCTATTAAGCTAAAGTGAGCCATTGATCAACTAAAGCTAAAGTGAGCCATTGATCAACTATGTTGTGAGATATAATAAGCCAAATAAGAGGAGGGAAATCACTATAATGGACAAAATGTATACACATGATACTTATTACAATAGCATAAGTAAAAAAATAAAAATCAATCTTTTTTCCCTATATAGTGGGATGACTCTGCGTGTAACTTTATTTGGGATATGACTACCAATGAAGGATCACTTCTTGAATTCACGATCAAATATAGACATGTAATAGCACTATAAGATTTCAAGATCTTTAAATATGAAGGTAATATATATTTCGTTACTAAAATTTTTTATTAAAGGATACTAAATGTAAAGTCCACTTATATCTGTCTCAAATTTATAGAGAGATGTGTATGTCATTTGTAAATTGCTTCAATAATATACATTAACCCGAAGATACAATATACTAAAAAAAAGAGAATGATAAGTAAACCAAGTAAACATCTATATAACACAATAAAAAAATATTATATTTTAAAGCTAATATGCAAGGCTCATTCAGAACAAGTTGCCAAGACAAAAGCATCTCCATCAAGACTCTTTACAAATACAACACATATTTACATTACAGATATATGCAACCATCACAATATTCGAAAGAGGTATAATCTTCCGAGACTACTCTAGAATTCACACAATTAAACCTAAAATAGTTTATCAATATCTAGATACACTGTTACACCTATAATGTAAAGATAACTACTATTTATAGTAGAGTTGAGTCGTGATTCTATGCTTGTAAAGGATGCAACAAGAAGTTGGATAGAGATATTAATAAGAGTGTCTAAATGATAAATGTTACAGAATCGCGAATGACGTAGTATCAAGGTTAAGTAATATTCATTCTTTATGAAATAAACATATATCAAAATCAAATATTAACATTATAATCTAAGACAAATTGACAATAAAAATTGTAGTTATTTAGTTCACATCCTCATTGATAATGACATGTACAATGCAAATGTAATATTATTTAATGTAGCAGAAACTCTTATTAGATGCACCTCAAAAGAATTTATTATAGGAAAAAAGTAACTAAAAAATTATAACAAAAATTACATATATATGAAGTTAATATTTATTCTTTTTGAAACAGAAAAATGATCAAAGTCCATATATCTCTAGAAGTTTGTGTTGAATATCAGAAATATATTCAAATTCTTTATGAAGTAAGACAAGAAGATAAAAGATGAAAAAGCCCAGGGAAAGATAATAGCATAAGAAATTCAGCTCCAACATGATGTCAAAAGATAAAGACACTACTCTAAAATTGCTTAGAAAAAAGATAAATGCGGAGAAGGATTGATCTCGACTTAATAAAAAATAAAACAAAATGAATAAAAGATCTATTTTCTGAATATTTTATAGAATAATTTAATTTTTTAAGTAAAATTATGAATATTTAGAAGAGATTTTCATAAAAAAATTAGTTCTTTTGTATGCTTATGTGGATTCTTTTATCATATAAAAGTGTATTAGAGTTAGCATTAATTTTTAATTTATAATTTTATATGAAGTCTATCAATGATAAAGAATAAAATTCATATTCACTTTAGTTTTATTCTAGGCCACTTTAATTAATCATATTGGCTTATTGGTTTTAATTATTCGTCTTTCTTTTATAACTCTATTTTTAAGCGTTTTTCACTTTCATAACACTAAACTTTCTCAAGTCAAACTTAGTTTCATATTGGTCCAAATAACATGACATTCAAATAGGTTTGGATTATATTTATTTCTTGTCGATTCAATTATCATTATAAAAATTTAAATTTGTTGTAACCTATTTAAACAAACATCAAAGGTAATAAATAGTTACAATGCTAAAACTATCAAAGTAGAACCGAGGAACAAATTTTAGTAAAGAAATAAATCAAAAATAATTAATCATGGTATTTAACCACATGCATAAAAACTAGTATATATACACGAGGTGGAATGCACGTACATTATGCGTGGTTAAATATCTTAATTGTTTATTTTATGTTTATTTATTTACCATAACAAGGTTGCAAAAAAGGTCATGATTGTCATAATATATCAAAAAAATTTGATATTGCAATGTGTAAAATTTTGTTGGTTTTAACATTTTAGAGTAGTAGTGAAGTTTAAACTCTTAAAATACTAATGATTTAATAGCAATTCTAATGATTTGAAGGGCTAATTTTAATTACAATGCAAAAAGGTTAATGATTTAATGATATAATTACAATGCGTCTCACAGGAAAAAAAATATCAAACAACATTTCAAATAACGTCATCACTGAAGGCATGATCTTCACTCATTTATTTACTTATTTATTTATTTATTTAACTTCCTATTATAATGATATATCTCTTAATTAAAAAAGATTCTTCAATAGTTCGTAGTGAGGATTATCTTTTTTTTAAATCAGATAATTGGAATCAATAGTGAGGATTATCTTGTTAGTAAGTTCAGTTGCAAGCATATCCACATCCAAACGAAGTTTGTGAAGTCAGAGCCTGATCCAAAGTGTAAGTCTAGAACTCCACAGCCCAAATAATATAAGCCCAGGCCCAACTTTAATTGCCATCATATGCCACTTGAATTAGACTTTTTTTTTTCCTAAAATGATGAATTGCACATAATCAGAATGCTATCAATTGGCACATAATCCTCATAGTGCCATGATGTTAAAGTATAATTGATCCAAATTAAAGGTGTCACATACATAATTTTCCGACAATTGGGATTCCTCTTACTCAAAGCTTTCAAATTCTAGAAGCCAATTTTAGCGCATCTTTATCCACTTCAAAATCCATAGCAACCAAGTACACAATATCCCTCAATCTCTTTGCATTCCTTCGTTATTATTAGCAACTCTTCCTCAGCCAAATAAGATCCACTCAAGTCTAAAAACAAATAAGATCCACTCAAGTCTAAAAACAAATAAGATCCGCTCAAGTCTAAATACTTGAGTTTTGGCATACGCTTAACGACAGCCAATGCATCTCTCTTTCTAATCGACCCACGAACCTTGAATGCGACGATTTCTTTTGCAATTAATTCGAAGGTTTA